TGTCTCTGATTTAATATCAAGCTCCTTGATCCATTTTGAGTTAACTTTTTTCTGGATTCTTTTGTCCTGAACCACTGACGAGTACTTATAAGGGGGAAAAATCGAGCACATGGACCTATATATTTTTTTATTTGTTACATTCTTTAATCTTTCTAGTAATCCTATGAAGCAACTCTCATTATCTTTATTATTCAAATGCAGAAACTAAGGCCCAGAGTAACTACTCAGTGTTGCAAAGATAGTTAGGAGGAACAAATAGATTAAAACTGTTATTTGTGATTTTAATGCTTAATCTTTCCACTTCACTGTCCTGCCTCATATATACAAGCTATTGGTGCTGAGGGAACAGAAACAGTTTAGGATTATTTGATGAGATGGGAAATAAACGAATCAGGGACCCATTTTCCTTTCTTCTTTTCCCCAGGCTTCCTGCTTTGCAATCATGTTTTTTTTTTTCTTTCTTTCTTTCTTTTTTTTTTTTTAACTTGAGCATGACCATAAAGGAAAGCTCAATGTGGCCTTTAAATAAAATAGGGAAAACATTTTAAAAGTGCATTTCATATGCTGCAAGGAACTGCTCTTTTGTTCTTTGTTGAATGGAATGTCAATCCTGAAGTGTGTCTTCCCATCCTTGTGATTTACATACTCTCTCCTGGCATTTAGGTTGACACACACATTTCACTTTCTTCATTCATTTTTCAGGGGAAAATGTTTTCTGGATACTCAGTGGATCTCGATTCCTATGTTAAATCCTGCAAGGTAAACAACATCCTGCTTCAAGGTCCTAGAGTCCATTGAACTTTTTTATACCATGAACTCTCACAATGTGGATAAGGCATCAAGTACCATCTAAATTTGTAGGTCATAAGCCTAGATGGCTATGGGCTGGAATAACTTGCTCAAGGTCACATAGATGATAATGGCAGATTAAGTTTTGAAGCCATATTCTACCTTCTGAGAGCAAACTAGGGCTCTTTATAATAAATCAATAGATCTGCCTGACTTTTGAATTTCATATCAACTTGATTGACTATGTAAATAAATACCTGGAAAAAAAAACAGAAAGAAAACTTAGAAACAGCATAAAACATTAAACTTCTATTTGGCACATGAGGCCATTCAGAAACATAACCTCTCACCCCAACAAATGGAATCATCCATTTTCACAACTGTTTCATAAAATAAAGCATATTTTGATAGCAAGATAGGGGGAAAAAAAGGTAACACCTCAACAAAGACGATCAGTTTCTAAATGGAAGTGATATGTTCTACGGGAAAACACCTCTGTTCTCCTTTTCTCATTTTGTCAGTATGCATGAAAATGGACCATAGGAATGAGGAGGATCCACACATTTAAAGATTACAGACTCAAGTTGTGAGCAGAACAATGAGCCAGGAACACTGATTTTACATTTCTCTTCCTGAAGCAATTGTTTGCTTAAGAAAACCCTTTCTGGGCTGGAGATGTGGCTCAAGTGGTATCATGCTCGCCTGGCATGCATGCGGCCCAGGTTCAATTCTCAGCACCACATACAAACAAAGATGTTGTGTGCGCTGAATACTAAAAAATAAATATTAAAAAAAAATTCTCTCTCTCTCTCTTTAAAAAAAACAAAACTTTTTGCCTTCATTAACAAGTGATGGAGAATTTACAATTCAAAGGCCTTTTGCATTCACAGAAGACAAAATTTAGAGAAAGCTTTCTCTTATATTTGCATTTTTTTTGCAGCAATCCTTCAATCCTGTACATTTAACTGTGATGAATAGCTAAAAATCATTTGCTAAACAAATAGTTACCTCAGGGAGGGGAAATCAATGTAGGGACAACACCTGGCTTTGCTAATCATCCTCCTGGGCCTGAATGCCACCCTGATGAAGTCACCCAGCCCTGCCAAGTCTCCAGTTGCAGAGAATAGTAATGGTGCATGCAAAACTGGTACTG